CGTTTTTGTTTGAGCTGTTTTAAATTACTAAATTCATCTAAAACAGGAGACTGGTATGATTAGCTGAAGACTTATTTTTAAAAACTCACAGCAACATGAAACTTATGCTTTGGGCCCCATAAAATCTTTGTACTGTGACTTCTTGTAATAAGGTAAAAATATAAATTGTACCTAACATTTATGTTATCTGACATGTAGTCCTTAAGAAGATAATCTGATACTTTGTTAATACCCAAACTCCTCTGAGACTTTAACAGCTTTTTTATTCAAAGACATCGAGAGGGCAGAAAGACAATGTGTGGTAACTCTTGTCACTTATGGGGAAATTGCCCTGCTGTCAGTAGAGAGCTGACCTGAGATGTGCAGAGGTAAAAAGAGCAGCTCCCTTAACCCTCAGCAATTACTGTCTGACAGGCTCAGGTGTCTGTCTCTGTGGATCTGACAGCAGTTTCCACAAAGTGTGGACTCATTTACTGGCTTCTTCTCACATCAGTCATATTCAGACAACAACACTGCAGGAAACATTTCGGCCCTGTTGTAGTTATATTTCACTAAACATTGAGTTATATTTCAATTCCATCTCCTGCACAGTTTTACGGACAAGATGTTGAAGTTAAAAACTATTTGGTGTTTTGTTTTATTTTAGTGCAATGCTGGACCGGCTGCCTTCTGGGTCCTCGGCTTCCTGCTCACTCACCCTGAGGCAATGGAGGCTGTTAAGTCAGAGATCAGAGACCTTCCTTCTCTCCAGGATACTTCCCTGCAGCGACGCCCCTTGAACCAGCTGGAAGCACAGAGCACACCTGTGTTTGGTACATAGCAGCTGCTTTGCTGCCTTTCATGCTATCTAATTGCGCTCTTTCACCCCTGGATTTAATCACCTTATTGGAATGGCCGCAGCAATTGTTGCACTTGTGTGAAATAATCATCTAAACTTGGAATCGGTTAAATCAGAATTGCCATTTTCAAATAATCTTATCATCACACGTTATTGTGCTTCTGTGGATACTGCCTGAAGGCTCTGATTTAACCAGTGATGACAGTCCTCTGACATCATCCACTTTGCTGTCCTTTCTGCTCTGCAGATAGTGTTTTGAGTGAGACCTTACGGCTCACTGCCGCGGTAATGATCAATAGAGAAGTTGTTAAAGACAAGATCCTTCGGATGGCCAATGGAAAGGAGTACCACCTCAGACGTGGGGATAGAGTGTGTCTGTTTCCGTTCCTCAGCCCTCAAATGGACCCACAGATTCATGAAGAACCACAGGTACTTAACATGCAGACAATACTGATAAGGAGCTTCATTTGGGTATGCAACAGTTTACAGCATGTTTTGCTGCTATATCACACACGATTAAGGAGATTAATGCTGCTGCAATCAGTCATGCAATATACAAACTCAAGGGGGTTGCACACAAATGAATGCCCCACTTTTCAGAAGATTATTTGTAACAAAAAACAATGCTGAAAGTTTTGTTTAATTTCCTTCTGCTTCGAAAATATGGATTGTTTGTTTTGATTAATCACATAAAATCGTAATGAACTACAAGATTGTGACTATAATGTGACAAAAATTGAAAAAGTTATCAGTACTTTTACACAGCACGGTGTGATATCAGGACATCAATACTAAGAAACTGACTTGTGAACTAATCAGTGAACTAAGATAATTCATCTTTGTTAATTCTGCTTGTCTTCTGTGGTTAACGATCATGACAAAAGTAAAACCTATTTTTTACTTTTGACAGAACGTATGCCAGAGGAAACAGATAACAGGGCTTTTTGCATCTCCTAATTTGTGTACATCTGTTCCATTCTCCTCTCCTTTGATAGATGTTCAAGTATGATCGATTCCTAAATGAAGATAAAACAGTGAAGAAGGAATTCTACAAGGATGACAAAAAGCTGAAGTACTTCACCATGCCTTGGGGTGCAGGGAAGAACATCTGCGTTGGAAAGGAGTTTGCTGTTGCAGCCATTAAACAGTGAGTGTGAATCCATGGGCTTCTAATGTAACCCCCTGCACATCTTGACATTTGAAAAACGATGTGCTTGCAAGCAAAGAATTTCATTCCAACCAACAAACCAGCAAAATCATACTTGAGTAATCTTTTACATTGTCGCTTCAGCCATGCTTTCATGTTAGTAATCGCTAATACTCAATGACGAGCTGGAATCAATGAGAGAGAGAGCAGACATCTGGAAGACAATTTTTATATCAGGCAAAGGTTAAAGATCACTTCATGTAATCAACAGCATCAAAGAGTATTTGCGCTGCATTTTGTTGTCTATACAAGGTTTGTTATGCAGCCACATTCTCACACAATACTTGACTTTCTCCCTACAGATTTGTGTTCCTGTTTTTGACCCACTTTGATCTGGAGCTGTGCAGCCCCAACTCTAAACTTCCACCAGTTAATCCCAGTCGCTTTGGCTTCGGGATGCTCCAGCCAGATGGAGATCTGCGGGTGAGATTCAGACTCAAGACGATGCAGCATGAAATGTGAAGTGTTGGAAAGCTTCACAATATCTTGTTTGATAGACTTTGTTTTGGTTAATGTAGAATTGCTCTATTTATTTTGTTTTTATGCCTTGTCAGCTTGCCAGGAAATTGTATTTAAGTTGGTTGCATGTTAAAAAATGTTGGGAATTAATGATAGAAATCCATGTCAACCTCTGTTTTCCTTTTGCTAAGCAGCAGGTTATAACTCATCTGAAACAGAATATTCCAGAGTGTCAGATCTTCAATAATTCTTTTATATCTCTTACTTGTAGGAAATAAGATCCAGCAGAAATTCATAGTACATGAGCACATTTTGTCACAACAGTGTAATTCATGTCTTAAAATATCCAGTCTGTATATATATATATATATATATATATATATATATATATATATATATATATATATATATATATATATATATATATATATATATATGCAATCATTTCCAGTGAAAAATACTTTTCACGTTTCTTTTTTTTTTTTTTTTTTTTTTTTTGTGAAAGTAAAACTTTGGATTTAATTCCTAAATTTAGTTTACATTTGATAGGCTACTTTTATTTAATGACTGTTGTTTTTATTTGCACTGTCCTACATTTTGAGATAAGCTTGCCTTTGTCTAATTAATAAATGAGTCATCAAAAGTGGATTTAAAAAGCTACCTGAATGTGTTCTATTGTATTGATTCAATTCAGTCAGGTTTGTTTTTTGTCTCTCCACAGCACAAACACACACACACTCACACATATACCTTTAAGAGGCAGTTACACACAATTACTGTCAATTTAGAAGGCAAACAGATCCTAGTCCATTCATTTCAGTCATGAAGACATACTTAATGCCAAATACATAAAGTATATCTACATTCTAAAACAGGGCAATCATGTTCAATTTATTATAGTTTCATTGGTAAAAAAAAAAAAACAAACAAAAAAAGCGTTCTATCTAAGGAGACCCACTGAGTGACTGACAGCAGCAATCCTTCCTCCTTCTAAGGAAACATAGCAACAGTGGACAGGTGACTCCATTCAGTTAACTTTGCAGTAATACATAAGGATGCATATATAAACAATGGAGAGTCAAAATACCCCTTACCAGGAAGAACACTGCAGCAATGCCTGAGGCCTTTTGCCATAGCCTATCAGTTACTTTTTAAGAAAAATGCAGAAACATTGTTCTAGCACTTTCTAAGTTAAAGACTTAACAGCACGAGTAGCGTTTATAATGGCTTTATCTTGGTGAGCAACACAGCAAAGCAGATACGCTCAGAGTTGTTAGTAAAATCAACTTGAGTGCATAAAATTGGTTGCAACAATATCTTCTTCAATTTGTGCTGAATTCATCTTGAGTTTGGTGTACTTGCCACAGATGCTGGGTCTTGGAATGAGGCCACGCCCCCAACTGGATATGTTCTATGCAAATCAGACAACCAGTGGAATTTGAAAATTGCCTTGATTGTAGTGGTGCAATGTATTATTATGTTGGAGGTCATGCAGTTTATTGACTGGGATCTCAAAAAATAGACTTCGATATGCAAATGAACTGCACCATTGCATCCAACCACATCCATTTATCCTTTATTATATATCTGTTTGATTTAAATTCCAAGGTTTGGTTGACTCATTTCCAAAGATCAGTGAGTGATCTTGAGATGGACAACTTTGCAGTACATCTAAAGTAACCATTCATGCACACTTACTCATGACCCCAAAGATATAACAGAATGTAAAGGCAAGAACAAGTGTTTTTTTTAGTTAGTTTATTTGTTTGTTTTCCTTTATTTAACCAGGTAAACCCAGTTGAGATCTAGATCTCCTTTTCATGAGGGATGTGGGAAGAAGTCTGCAATACACAGCAACCTGTTTACAAAATAAAACTAATTGTGATGGGTGTGTGATGGTCTCTGACTGAGTTTCTCCTTCATGACTTATTGGAATCCTGAGTTCAGGACCATGATATGCAACACAGCAAATCCACCTCTGAAAAAAAAGAAGAAAAAAAAAGAGAAGGTTTTAGAGTTGGTTCCAAGTCCATTCATGCTTGGAAACTCTTCAGTGTGACTGAATTAAAACCTTTATGCAAAGAGGAGAACTTCTTCACGTCGATGTAAAAGATCTTACCAGTAGCAAAATCTTGATGACATTTCTCAAGAATGCCACAGTGGGTTTGGTATCTATAGGAGGCAATTACTTAAAAAGAAAAATCAGATTGGTTTGAAAACGTTTTTAAAATGTACTCTATTTATCTCTGTTTCATCTTAAATTTTGAGTGATGATCTGGAAGAAAAAGCAGAAAAAAACACTGGAAAATATTCATTAGAGTCTCACAGCCTTGAAGCCCACAGCAGTGTGTTTACAGTGATTGAGGACTCGGAGCCGGAAGAGTTAAACAGATGTGGAGGGGAGTTTGGAGCTGCCATGGATCCACCTTCACAGAGATGCGGCGCCTCCTCGCACAGCTGACTGGGAACACAGGTAGTCCGTCCGAAGGGGGCTGTCTGTCGGCGTACTTGTTGATATCCGGGCGCAAACAGCGCGGTGAGACATGCGGAGCGGGAAGCCGGCGGGTTGGCGGTTCGGGTCGTGCTGAGGATCTGTCTCTGCCATGTCGGAGACAGAGGAGGGGGAGATGGGTTAAACCCCGGCAATTGTAAACCAATATCGACGCCTTCTGTTTTTTGTTTCTTTTTTCTTTAACGCCTCTGCTTCATCTTCGTTTATGGCTGCGGATTGATTGATCACAGAGCTGGTACGTGCTGGTTTGAATCAGTGCAGTATGACTACAACACATCATGGTGTTTTGTTTTTTTTAAGCTCGTACGCATCTCTGGACTTTGAAACCTGTCAGTTGTGATAGCTTTTCAGTTACTGAGCTCCCTGCATGCCAGGAACATTCAGCTTCGGAAAAATATGAGACAGACTTTGCACTTTGTTAAATGGTTCCAGTCCAGCTTATTTACATCCTCAGTAGCTACGCAGAGCAGCAGCGTTTGCACAAGAGGGAGTGGTGTTTGTGTAATGTTTACCTGCTTTATTGAAGCCTGGATTCTAGTGGAAAAGGAGGGCGAAAAGAATTGTTTTTCTCAGGTTTAGCGCGGCATCTTCCAATATATTCAGCTTCTGTCTTAATTTCAATTTTGAATGTGGTTATATTTGTGCTTTGAACTTGACACAATTGTCACTCGTTGTCGGGTTTGGGGAGAGCAAAAATAAACTTTGGATGACAATGATGAAAGATCAAATCTATAGGCCTGGTCTGTTGCCGGGGCTCTCATAAACCCTGTAAACCGTGGTGCGGCGTGGGCTTGCTGGTGCCACGTCTACAGTCGCACGCACACGCACACACACAAACTATCAGGGCATGCTGGACTCAGAAAGAAGTGCTTCCTTTTGGGTCATCCCTCCTTCTCTCCCTGGGGAAGGTGGCCGCACGCTGGGAGAAAGCAGCGCCTCCCCGGTGTTTCAGCACCTCTGGGCTGGACAGCGCTCACTTTGCGCCGTAGCATCTCTGCGTCCCACCCACAGCACTGCATGGGCGTCATTGGAGCAGAGAGCAAAAGAACTGCAACATGCCAACGAATAAATTAGACTGAGAAAACTCGAATCACAGTGCATTATTGTATGTATGCCAAATGTTTTATTTTGGTTCTCAATTACTTGTATCTATAATTCAGGTCAAAGCCAAATTACCTTTGCAAACTTGATGCGAATTAAGTTTAATTTCAACATATCTTTCAATACTATAAAACATGGGGGTATTTTTTTTAATCCAAGTGCCAACATTTCCTTTTTTAATCACCAAGCTAGACATTTGACTTTGCAGGCTGGTTTAAGGCATGAGTCATCTCTACAATCCCATGTGTTGACGAGTTTATTACAGCTTCAGGAAGAAAAAAAAATAAGTAAAATGCTAGAATTTATATAACATGATATCAGAAAACATTTAAAGAAAAACTTATTCCAAATTATTGCAATTGCTGTCTAGTTGTTGTAACCTTGGAGTTTAGGGGCTGAGGATTTTTGTCAATATATATATAATTCATCAGGTTTCTTTTTAATGGCTGGTTGAGATTTTGACAACACAAACTAAGCCAGGACTCTGTTTCTTGCATTGCTAATATGGGTGAGTCATCTCAGTAATTCCCATCTGCTCACAAAAGCCTTTTTAGTTTATTCATGATGGGCTGTTTTAAGTTGAGTTGAAGTACAGTCTGATCCTACAGAAGAAAACTTTGGTGAAGAAGCTTAACATATGAACAACATACTGTTTGTCATTTTCCTTCTCTCCTTCTCTTCTACAGAGTTTTATGTTATAGTCTCCTTAAGGATACTATTACTTCTTCAGGTATATTTGCTTCGTTCTTTCAATTTATACAATATTTTTACACTTTATATAATCATTATTTAGGATTCTTAAGGGATAATTTAGCATTTACATGAGGGGTATTTAAAGACCCTGCAATGTTAAAGTTACAGCCCTTATTTTTAACCATGCAACTCCAAAGATGAAATCATTATGAAAAACTGAAATCATAACCAAATCACTAAAAACTAATAAATATTTTTTTTCTTCCATGATTTGTTTTTAGAGACCACAATGAAAGAAAAGAATATCAACAGTAGTCCGTAGTCCTGGACGTTTGCATGCTTCCTCAACTCAAAGTCATCATGGAAAAATCCTTGGATCTAAACAAAGCTGGCTCTCGGTCGACATCATCCCTGCCACCTGAGCCAGTGGACATCATCCGCAGCAAGTCGTGTTACCGCCGAGTCCGGCTGAATGTTGGGGGTCTCCCTCACGAGGTCCTGTGGCGAACGTTGGACCGGCTGCCTCGGACTCGTTTAGGGAAACTGAGAGACTGTAACTCCCATGATTCTCTGATGGAGGTGTGCGATGACTACAACCTGGAGGAGAACGAATACTTTTTTGACCGACACCCAGGGGCTTTCACGTCCATCCTGAACTTCTACCGCACGGGCAAGCTGCACATGATGGAGGAGATGTGTGCCCTGTCCTTCAGCCAAGAGCTCGATTACTGGGGCATTGATGAGATCTACCTGGAGTCCTGCTGCCAGGCGAGGTACCACCAGAAGAAAGAGCAGATGAACGAAGAGCTGAAGAGAGAGGCTGACAATTTAAAAGACAGAGAGGGAGAGGAATTTGACAACACCTGCTGTGCAGAAAAACGGAAGAAGCTGTGGGATCTGCTGGAAAAGCCGAGCTCATCTGTTGCAGCAAAGGTAATTTTTGAATTGAATGTTGGGTGTGAGCTGAGCATATGACCGATGTAAGCCTTCTGACATGATTCTAATACAAGTCAACATACTGACAGGTATGCACAAACAGAAACAAGAGAACAAAACATATTACTTTTCTGTAAGTTAGTCCAGTTTGGTCTTCTCAGTGAATTTGGATTTTGGGATTATTTTTGACATTTTTACTGGATCTACTGTTCCCCTTGAAAGTTTAGATTTGTATTTCTCTAAGAACTAATGAAAATTTGTTATAGTTGTTGTAAAGTAGTTTGCATGTTTGAAGACAATAAAGTAAATAAGAAAACATTAGAAACTGGATGCTAAGTAATAAAATTTAATTCAATAGGCAATCTGAACAAACAAATATCTGGGTGTGAATATACAATTAATTGAATATAAATCACATGTTTCATTTCTGTTAGTTAATTCAAAAACCTAAACTTGTATGTAGAAATTCAGGTGATCATTAATTAAGGGAATTTCAAAAAGCTGTTGAGAAAAACAATAAAACAGAAAGACTGAAGGAAGGCAGATAATTAACTGCAGGCCAGGGGTGAAAGATGGTGATAAGAAATAAATCAAAAAGCACAAAGAGCAAAACACCAGAAATTAACTTAACTAAAAACTAAACACAAAGACAGAATGTATATGTGGTAAAACCCTGAAAGCATTAATAAACAACTGAATGTGACAAGTCCATGCACTAAAACTAAATTGACTGAATTACTAAACTAAATTTATTTTTCACAAAATTTCAATTTGCTGAAATGTACCTGAATATAACAGAAAATGTTTTACACTAGTAGCATAGCAGAACAGTAATAAAACCGATTTGTCTACTTTTCCACACTTACTTTCATTCACATTTAGTTTTTGGATGGGTGTCTTCATCCTGCCACTGATCTCTGGCTATTTATCAGCAGACTTGCTGCAACATTTTGGCATTGCTCTCAGACTCATTAGACAGTCAGCAAAGAGAGTCTCAGATTGCTCACTAAGTAACCATTTGAAGACTACATGCAGCTTTTCTACACTTAGTGAGACACAATGCTTCAGAACAGATGAAAAAAATCAGCTCTAATACTTTGTCATTTAACTTTTGAAGGATTATGCGTTTGATGTTTGACTGTGTACACATTTCTATGCATGTAATAAAAGAGCCTGCAGCCATTCTGTGTTTTTAAAATGTGGGGATGAAAGAATGCAATCCTCCTGCGAAGAAGGTAAATCAAATGCAGTACCTGATATCACTGTGTTAAATTCCCATGTTACAGCTATTTGCAGTTTTATGTGATTTTGTTTTTCACTAAATAAAACTAAGCGTTGCTGCTTTCAGAGATACTTCATCCCTGCCTTTAAAAACACACTCACCTGCCTATATTAGATGTTGTGAGTTCGGTTGCGTGCTCTGAATTTATAATGTGCGTCTTGGAAATGTCTGACTTGAAATTGGATTGTAACACATTATAAACATGGTGCTACAAAGGCATCAGTGGTGTGGTCCACTCTTAAACTTGTTTAATGAAGACAGGTATTAAAACAGTAAAAAGAGTCATTCTATAAAATCCCTCTGTTATTTTATAATAAGGTTATTATAAAACATAATAACCTTGTTATTTTCTTTTATGTGGCTGTGCACTGCTAGGAATTTAAAGTTACTCAAACAACAAGGTGAAGATAGGAAGTTGCTGCTCTATGCTGAGCAAAAAAAAAGTTCTGTTTTTCTGAATGTGCTTTTATAATTATTACTTTCTAAGTAGAAGAGTGGAAATATATATTTATTCAGTGTTGCATTGATGGATGATTAGTATGGAAAACTATAATTTTTCTTTTCATTTTAAATGTTCTTTTTTTCTATACTTATCCAGATTTAGAAAATACTTAAGTCAAATTCCTAACTTATGATTAGTGATTCTTTTCTTTCTTCAGCTGCAAAACATTTCACTTCCTCACAGTCAGGGGGTAGAAATGTTGCTGCCCAGCAGAAAATTAACAAATTTTTTTGTACAGATACTCAATATGAACAGTTTTAAGAATTGTTTAATCAGCAGGTAATTAGCAGATATTAGGTATAAAAAATTAGACCAAGATAAATTATGCATGAAATTTTAAATGTGGCATATGCTGTACAGTTCAAATGCAGAAGAAGCAAAGTTGTTAAAGGAAAGAATGTCAAAATAAAAAGCTGCAACAGCCTTGTTGCATATGTGTGCACAGCCTTTTTATTTTTTCAAGCACTCTCTGATTCGATTTCAGTCTTCTTGAAGTCACAACTGCAATCAATCACAGACAATCTCATGAACCAGGAGTGAATTTCTTGCTGACTAATCGGGAGAATGCAAAGGAGCTGGGGAAGAACCTGAGTGGGGAAAACTAAGGGAAGGAGAACTAAACAAGATGCAAGATAATGAACCTAAACCAGAAATTAAAGATTTAAATTAGGCACCAAAAGAGCAAAACACAAGAAAAACAAACAAAAGCGACATAAAACTTGTGTAATGATTTGTACACAAAACCAGGACAGAATAAAAATCAGACAATGACTATGACATAATATGAAGCAACTTTTTTCCAAAGGACACATCCAAGCCATATTAAAATCTCCCTAAGTTTTGTTAAAGAATGCTATCAAGCTTAATCACCACACCCAAAGTATATTTTAGTTATTTTTTTCATATTTTTACACCAATAAATTAGTTTGTTCTCAATTTAACTGACTGAATCAATGTCTCCTTCAAAGTAGGAAAAGTCTGGAATTAATTTATTTCACATAACAAAACATTACATTTTAAAAGGAGTGCATAAACATTTTTATTCTCTCCACACGCACTGATAGTTCAATGTAACTAAAGGAAAGGAGGTAAAAACGCATGACTTGCAGTAGGTTTGTTGTTCTGAATGACCTATTGTTAATGTTATCATTGTCTACAAGCATCTTTAAATGTTCTCTCGGTGTAAAAGGAATCCTGGCTCATTTATAATGTATAACCAGAAATGTTCACTCTCTATTATCATTATTGAAGAACTTATCTCGACTGTGAGGATGTGCAGCTATTAGCCATCTTAATTATCATCTCATCAAAACATAACATGAAAATCATTATCTCCATCTCCAGTAATGGCTATATCACATCTCCATCAGCTTGCTTTTATAAAATTAATCTAAATTTATCTCTTCCATACTGCAGAATTGCTATGCACATTGAAACAGAGCTGAAAATGCACACATGCATAATTATTTAATGCAAATATTGTCAGTATTTGTGCAGAAATGTGATAATAACCACAAATAGAATAAGGCGCTCACGTGACAAGCATATTTTTATTTATGAAAGACAGTGTACCTAACATTTTCTAATGTACAGGAGAGGCAGGAAAGAGACAAAGGTTAGTTGGTAGTTGCAGAGTTTAGATCATGATTCATTCAGTTATTATGAGATAAGCAGTCAGATCATGTTGCTCAAGCACTTTCTAAGTGATAAATTTAAAACACTGAGCAGCTGCTTCAAGTTGAAGCACATGTGGCCGTGTTTTGATATGAAGCAGAGTTTGGTTGAATGAGTCTCAGTAGTTGTTTTTTTTTTTACAGTCATTGGTAAAATTACATCTGATTCCTCATATCAGTTGTGCTCAACCTTAGTCAAAAGAAAATTGGTTCTGCCCTCGGCTGGCCATTCAAGACAAGTCTGCAACGGTAACTTTTGTGTCATGAAAAAAACCTTTGATCATTTCTTCAAGGTCTGATATTTATGAGGAATCAAAGAGCGAATTGTTTCCAGCGCAGTCTCCCCCCTCCAGGGTAAATGTGCATCATTTTGCTCTACAGCTTGTACTGCAAGGGAAATGAAAATTAAACAATTTGCAAATTGTACTGACTAGTGTTCTGCAGTGAGGATTCAGGAGGACTGCCTGCTCTATGTTGAAAACAAACTCAGATAAGCGCATGCGTGAGGGAAAGGTCTTCTTCAGAGGAATCAAAGAAATGCAAAATCAATGTTTATTGTGTTACACTGAAGGAAATGCTGTTGTCTAAAAAAAGGAAATGGCCATCTCGAGTCCAACAATTATTGCCATCTCAGCTCTCATGTTCTCATATCTTGAGTTCAACAGAAATATTGGTGGAAAAGCACTTTGTAGTGCTGAAGTAAAATGAGCATGGCTCTTCCATCTGTACAATAACGCAAATTTCTTCTGTAGAGTGTTTTCTACAAATCCTATTCACGTTTTCTGGACATTGATGAATATGGTCAGTCTCTATTCACATTAGGCTACTAAACTATATTGGTATTTACAACTGGGCCCCCAGGTGAAAATCTGTGAAAACCCTTAAAATGCAGTAGAATAATCTTGCTAAATATTATTAAAAATTGTTTTACTTGAGAATATTTATTTTGTGCAGCAGAAGAAATCCAACTTTAAGAAATAATTGACTAAGGTAATCACAGAAAGCACACATATTGGTATTTGTCTCTTTAAAATTAATGTAACTGAAAAAATTTTATATTTATACTTTTTTAAGTTGATCAGATTTCTAAAAAATAGCAAATTAGAAGGTTGTAATGGTGAATACTGAAATTATTCCGTACAGCTTGTTGGTTTTGTAGCCACAGATGTCCTAAACAAATACATACTCTTTTATACTTAACCACATGCTGTTTATGTGGATAACAAAGTGAGCAATGTAATAGTATGTAACTTAACTTTTAAAAAAAACTAAACACAGAAGACTCCCAGTTGTCACCACAGCAATACTAAACAAAAACTTTAGAGTCAGCAACAATGTGACCAGCCAAGCACTTAAATTAAGTTTTAATTTGAAATAACATTAAGCTGAATCACTGGTACTGGATAAAAAATAACTTCCAAATGACCACCTGTAGCACCCAAACAATTCAGACTCCATACATGCTGTGAAATTTTGTTTAAGTCTCGATATGATCATGTGTATTCAGGTATTGCAGAATGTACATGTTTATATAGCTAAT